GCTCACGACTTGTCGATACGCCTCTGCAGTCTTATGTGATAAAGCTGGTTATATGGTTTAGTTTAGAGCATTTTATAGCAATCCACCTCTGAAATATGAAATACTTTTAAATTTCTGTATAGAATTGTATGATTATTGTATAAAAGAAGGATATGCTGACAAAAACCTCATAGCAAAATGGAAGAAGCAAGGTTATGAGAGTCTATGCTGTTTGCGGTGCATACAAACAAGAGATACAAACTTTGGAACTAACTGCATTTGCAGGGTACCAAAGGGCAAACTAGAAGAGGTGAGTCAAAAGCTAAGTCTGCACTACTCTATCAAATTTTCTTTGACAGAAAAATGTTCTGTGCCCATATATATAATCACAGGGCACCTACATACACTATGGTTATGGTCGTGATGTGATGTCATCATAACCATAAACAAAATTTGGTTGATGGCAAACTTTTGCGTTATTCCCCTTTAAAAAAAAACAAAAACAAAAAAAACACTAATACTACATGCTCATGGTTCATATTGCACACAACAACAGCTTCTCTACCACAAGGTTTTACAAGGGATACAATAAAGGTGGTGTGGTGTAATAACCTTCAGCTTTCCAGTTGATGCATTGAACCAATATCCCAGTGGTTTAAGTTCTATTTAATGGATTTTATTTTTCTTTCAGGGTAAAGTTGTAGAATGCGTTCATTGCGGATGTCGAGGATGTTCTGGCTAAATAGTTGATTTACAACAAATTCAAGTAAATTCTGAACCAATATAAAGATAATTTCACCAAAATCACCCAATGCTGTCAAATGTGATGTCGTTATTGAGCCAAAAATCTGATGAATCAGGAACAAATAAAAACAGAAATAGGAGATGATGTTATTACACAAGACAAGCAGGGACAGATATTTTTTTTCTTGTAAATAAATAATTGTATAATATCTGTGATGCATTGAATTTGACTTGGCAGTTCACTCTGTAGTACTACAGTACTTTAAATTGTCAGCTCAGCTGCTGACAGAATGTCAAGCTAGCATAGTAAGCTGTGAACACACTGCGTTGCAATGACGTACGACCAGTGCTGTATCTAATAAAGGTCCCAAGAAACTAACTGTTCCCTGGGGTGCGCAGGGGGATGCATTCCATACCCCCTCAATTTCTTGAGCCCCTGTTATCCCCTACTTCAATATCCCTAACGCTTGACAAAGCGACGCCATCTGCTGTGCACATCTCGTCGCGTTGCCCGAAGACTGTCAGTGCAGTGTGTGTCTGGCTTTCAATTATATTTGTAAGAATAACATTTACTAGTGACCAATCTAGGATTTCATATCACATTTATGAATTAGGATTATTTTTATATTTATAAAAGTGCACCCACCTTTCCTGGAGTACACTAATTCAATACTCAATTATTTACTTGTCCTTGGTACCATGTTACTTCTCATTGTGCTGTACAAGATTTCAATACGAGGCCTAGGAACTACAATTATTTTTAGTTCTGATAAAGACTAAGGGTTTGGCAAGGGGAGAATTTTAACCATCTCAAATTGCAGGTTGCCCTGTCAGAAAATATTTGGTTCTGGGTCACTGGACCAATTTTGGCTTCTAAATTACCTGCTAAATTCAGTTCGCATAAGTAAAATCTGTAGGTTTTTACTGTTATTCTTGTTTGTTTTTAATAAAATACACATCAATTGATAGATCCAAATATCTCCTCTCTTTTAATATTTTTACCAAATTAAACAGTCAAAATCTCAGGCCGAACCAGTTTTATCCGGGGGAGGGTGCAGTTGCGATTACAATAATATGAATGTATAAACATGTGCATTGCTACTGGTATGGGAATTAAGGGTCCCATGTTTGAAGTCGCGTGTGGGAGGTGTGGTTGAATCAGCTTTAACATATCTAGTCAAGCTAATTTCTGCAAGAGTATCGATAATACAGAATTAAAAAGGTGAGAGGTTAGTTTCAAGGAGATTTTTGTTTGCTTGCGAGAGTGCGGACCTCTAGAAGGTTTAGCGAGTCAAGGGCTAGACACAGATTTGAATAATTCCAAAAATTAAAGAGGCAATGAATGTGAGCAGGAGCAACACTTTGAATATATTGAGCACTTCTTTGACAGATTCAACATAACACAACACATCTATGCACTTCAAATCTGACAGCATCTTATGATGCCACCTGATGAAATTTATCGTTGGGGAGAGTTTGAGGGCGTCCTGAGAGTATTAAGCATGATGATAGGGGGCTTTCGATTGCACGACAACGGTAGGACGTAAAATGTAATGACGTCAGTAAAAGTCATCTGCGCATGCGAGAACGTTAAGGTCACCTCGTTGAGTAGATTCTGGAACGCAATTTGGCCAAATCTATGTATGCAGAGAACGTAGAACGCTGGGTAGGACGTTCACGCACGAGTGGTTCTGTTCTAGCATTGCATCGCACAAATCGAAAGCTCCCTAATATTTTATGTTAACTGTCCCTGACTCAGGCCTACTATGGTGACACAGGCCTACTATGGTGTTACAGTAATAATATCCATCATATCAATACAGGGGTACAAGAATATATACAGTAGTACATAAATAGGTCATACAGTACTATACAGATAGTTAATTTTATTTAGTACCAAAATCAGAACTACTAGTATCAAATATTATTGTGGCAAATGTTGATAACAACAACTTTACACTGATGACATTCAAGAAATAATCAAAAACTACATGGATTCAATTTATTTATAATTTATTCTTTGGATGATTTGACAAAAATCTGATGTACAACAAGCAAATAAATTTTTCACTTAACAGTAATTTTCCAATCAGAAGTAACTAAAATAATAATAATAATAAATCTCAAACTAAAAAGGATTAATTCTTTAAAATAGTGGGTTTACTCTGATAATAATATATTAATTATTTTGTCATCTCAAAATGAGGGAGACGGTCATAAGTAGTTTCAATTGTGCATTGAACAACAAAAATGGAAGAGAAACCAGCTGGTGTTTAAACCAACAATTTCATATTTCAAATCTTACTAAAGAAAATAAGTAACCATTTCACAAGAAATAGAGTAAAACCTCGTTTGGGACACCTCTATTTTCGGCCATAAAACAAGGGAAGTATATCTTTTAACACTGCAGCCAACCCCTATTCTGGGGATGCCCCTATTACTTTTTCAGGCAAAACATATTTCACTCGAAAATGTACAACTGAATTTATTGAAAGGTGCTAATCGTTTTAATGGATATTTAATTAAATATTTTTTGAAGTAACTTTAAGGCATCATTATTATATCTTTGATTTTTTTAATTGTATATAATGTATATTTACTGTTTTGGAGCTTTTATGGCATTTATTTATTTTATGATACTTTTACCATTAACCAATGGAGACCACTGAGATTAAATGTTTCGAATAATTACATGAATAAATAAATAAATTTAAGAACAGGAATAATTTTAGATTTTGCTGCGAATGTTGATACATGAGTTTATGAGTTTGCATATACAAATGACCACATATTTAGCATGTCTAATTTGCATATGCAAATTATGAAACTTCAGCATGTGTAATTGGAATATGCAAATGCCCAAACTTGTAAACTGAGTGCCTAATAATTCTGACTATAATTATCGCATTGCTTTATATACTTATAAATTATTCTACATTAATAAACATTTATACAAATGTATATATACACAAAAATATATAATACAAATGTCTTAATTTTTAATCCTAATTTAGAGAGTAAAATTTAAAAAAAAAAGAAATATATTTAGGTTGAAACTAGCAACACATTCAATAAGTAGAAAAAAAAACTTATTACATGGAATATTGGAAATCCACACGTACCCACTGTACTGACTAGTAAATATCTGGTGTGGCTTTTATGAGTGAAAAAGATAAATGAATGGGAGTTTGTCATCCTTGCGACTGGACTGAAATTGACTAGTTACCGGTAGCTCTCATGCCAACTTTCAATCACAATTGTGCAACTACCAGCAATAAGTTTGAACTAGTTGCCTAGAGCACTTAAGTCGCTTCCAATTGTAGATTATCTACAATGCTATGCTATGCAACACTACTGTGATTAGCATGGGCACAGTTACTGGGTTACTACTGTCACCTGACCATTCTCAATCGCAGCAAAATAGAACATGGGCAACCGACAACATCGTGCCATATCGCAGGACCTGTATTGTTTGCCATTCGCTGGCAATTTGCCAAAGCTCAGTTAAGCGATAAACTCATTCCAATATCCTACAGTAATGCACACAATGATCAAACCAAAACATCTTTTAAAGTTTAATAATTTTAAGTTTAAAAAAATGTTGATATGTCAACAGTAAATGATATAACATAAGTATGGTACCACACAATATTGATACTTGTAAGAAATTATAAAAAGATTGGGGGAGCACTGTAACGCATGTGTGAAGTTGCGATTTGGGTAATCAAATATAATATGCACTTGGGCATACCGGGATGCACAATTGGCATACCAGCAGGCACCACCGGCATACCTGATACACCATTGGCACACATGGATACACCATTGGCATACATGGATACACCATTGGCATACATGGATACACCATTGGCATACCTGGAATGCACCATGAGCATATCTGTGTGCACCATTGGCATACCAGCACACACCACTGGCATATCAGATCATCGCTCACATCACAAACTAACACAATCAAAATAGAATGTGTTATTTTGTGAAATCAAGAAAGTGCATCAAAATACGCGCTGTTGTTGTTAACGACTTTTTGTGTGGAAAAGAATACAAAAGTGCTTGACAACCAATAGAGTTCGTTTTGACGCGCTACTGTGATTCCACGAACTAACACAATCTACTCTGATTATGTTAGTTTGTGATGTGAGCAACGAGATGCACCATTGGCATACCTGGATACACCAGTGGTATACCATTACACACCATTGGCATACCTGGATTCACCAAAGGTGCAATAAAATAATCATAGATGCTCTTGAACATAGGTACAGTCCACTCCACCGTGGGCACACTGAGTACGTTGGCAAACATCATGAGTGCAAGCCACTGAGCATGTGTCCTGGAGTTCACCATGGATACAATGGAGTGCATCACAGGAACCCATCACATGCTCAATGAAGTCCTCATGTCAGTGTATCAGTTTGGCCTCAAGTGCCACCAAAAGTACTGATTATACACAGAGGTCAACAGTAGGGTAGTCTTTCACCTGAGCAAGAATTTGTTTGAAATACTCGGCAACACCAACGTCTTCATTTACATATCGTTCAATGAACTTATCACGCTGCAATAAACACAGATAATTACATCAGCATTTTAACGTGTATATTGGTCATTACAAATCAAGCGATAAAAAATTACACTGTATGGCACAGTGGGAACGGTTTGGTTTCCCAACCTCGAGGACAAGGTTTCAATCTGTGTGCATTTGTGCCCTTAAGAAAGGCACTTTACCTGCACTGCTTCTCTCCACCCAGGAGTACGAATAAGTACCTGAGAAGGTTCAAGTGCAAAAATGTGCTGATATATTTCATGCAGCAAACTATGGAATTTCCCCCATAGGCATCGTTCCAATGACTGGGGCAATAATGTGGAAAAGTGCTCTGAGACTTAGTTGTATAGAGAGCTATATAAAAACCTACATATTATAATTATTATATTATGCTGAATTTTCATGCATTCCTCACATGAAGCAAGTAGTCGCATATTAACCGTTCCCAGTCATAGGACATCATGGCAACACAGTAAATAACCACCAATTATAACGTGGGGTGTAATATTAGTATCCTAATATCCTTAAACGGTAAGAAAGCCCTAGTACTGCATTGTTTATGAGCGATTAGAAATTAGTTATTGAAGTTAGAGAGGGCGACCAGAAATTCAGAAATTCAGGAAGAGACACTTAAAAGAAACCTTTGAAGAGCTGCAATCCACAGCAAATACAGCTAACCCACATGCATGTGGAAACAGGGAGTGTTGTACAGAAAAATATGAGGATGAGGGAAATAAAAATGATGAGGATAATAATAAAGGTAACAATAAAGATGATGATGAAAATAACAACAATGATAAAGATGATGAGGATGAGAATAACAAAGATAATGTTGACCACAATGACAACGATGATGATGATGATGAATGGGTTGTATTACAAAAACTTTTAATAGTTTATATAGTTCTGACAGTTAAATTTCTTACCAATAAATCTTTGTACTTTGGCCTTCTAGAAACATCTTTTGTTAGACTAGAACAAAATAAAAATAAAAACATTAAAGGAAGCACTAAGTTATTAAATTAAATTATAAATTTTTTTTTTTTTTTTTTTTTGTGATCAATTTATTTTTCAAATAAATTAACCCAATGAAACTGATAAAGATTTCCAATCATTATATTGTTTCACAGCGAAACTTATCATGTCGCTTGAATAAATTCGCCTAGTGGAAAACCGCCCTAAATAGTTATCAATGACCATCATCACTTAACTTAAAAATAATAACATAAATTTTTATACTCACCAAATATTAACAAATTGAGTATATTCAGGGGAAAACTGGTGTTCTTCGTTACTTATTAATTGAGGCGGATCCCCCTTCACAACTTGCGTCAGTTGATCAAACACGCTCTGCCACTTTGGATACGGAAACTTACCAGTAGATATTTCAATCTGACAAAACAAATTTAAAATCAATTGAAAAAAGAATAAATAAAAAAAAAAATTAATAAATTACAAAAATTAATTGAAATATAAACAAATTTAATAGAAATTAAAGAGATACACATTAATCTTTTTTTTTTAATTATTATTTTTTGCACAATCTCTAAATCGTAAAAAATTATTGAAACATTTTAATTGGTTGAAAACATATTTAAATTTTGGTAAACAGAATGTCTAAATAAGAAATGATTAAAGGGCACTCAGGGAGAGCACACCTCCGCCCACATCATAATTCTCTTCAGTATAAATTTTCTCTGTATACTCCCCATAAAAACAAATAATGAAAAAAAACAAAAAACAAGTAGACTCCTTGGGATTTGAACCCAAGTTTGTGATTAAAACTATGGGATGTAGGCATATAAATAAAAAAATTGGTTTTCGTTGATTGTGACCTTGACCCTTCAAAATTTAATCAGCTCTAGATCTTAGGTAAAGGAACATTGTGGTCAAGTTTGACGAATTTCTTATAAAAACTGTAGGCTGTTCAGAAGAAATCTGCCGACAGTCAAATAAATAGCTAAATAAAAAAAAACGGGCAAAAACATAACCTGCCCACTTCGTTGGCGGAAGCAAGAATTGCATCATTCCTTCTAGCCATGTTCTCCATTTGGGTTAATTAAAAAACAAATGTTCCAAAAGTGTTCTCTAAATGGTTTGTTGATTGTAAATTGTTTCCGGATATCATTTAAAATGAAAATATATACATGCATATAATTATTGTCTTGTCTTGGCTTTTAGGACTTCTCTGAAAATCAGCCATGCTGAGTGGGACTTCCTGGTTAAGTATTAATAAAGAAAGAAAAAAAATGTATGATATAGCATACAAGCTGTTAAGATCTGTCCAAAATTTCTTTGGAAAAAAACTGTTGTATGCCCATATTTAGTCATGATGTGCCTATGTATGTTCATGATGTGATGTCATCATTACCATATTTAGGCATGTCACATTTTTTTTTGGACAGGACTTCAGACGGTTACTCACCATAGTTATTCCAAGACTCCACACATCAGATCTGATGTCAAAAGTCGACACTTGTGGATCAATTCTTTCAGGCTACAAGGACAGAAAAAAAATATTTTAAAATAACATCACAGCATATTAAATTGAATACATTTAACAATTTAAAAGGTCAGGGGTTAAGTGACAGATATACCTTCTAAATCTTGAGTGCCTAGAGCATTTTAAGTGGATATGCATGCTATCTAAAGCATATAATATTATTATTATTATTAAAGAGATCTTGTTTCTTTAAATATTACAATTTTAAATATTAAGATTAACATTTTTATGCTACCACATAAAACAAATAGGTCTACATACAAAGTTACAAATTACAAAATTATTAAACTGGAGACGTACCGCCATGTATGGCTTGCAACCAGCATCTCTCGTCTTGGCAATTGAATCAACAAGTTGACCGCTGATTCCAAAATCACAAAGCTTTATTTGACCTTTGACATCTATTAATATATTGGATGGTTTCACATCTAAAATATGCAGTGATTTAGAACAAAAAGAAACATAATAAAATTAAAAGTAACTGTATTTTAATTGTTAAAAAGAGGAAGTAAGAAAATTCAAAAGTATTACAAAATAATTCTTGTTTCTGTAACAGTAAATTATATTCCAATTATTTTTAAACAATTAAACCAATTAGTTGATGTTAACTTACGCTAGCTTTCATCTTGTTGTCAACAAGATTTCGTCAGGCTAAGTAGTTTATTTGTTTTATAAACAAATAATTGGAATATACCGTTACAAACCTGATGAAATTATTTGATCATACAAGTTAATTATAGCATTAAATAACAAGAATAAATTAGCTTTGTTTGCAAATACATATATTGGTTATAAATATTAAGTTCAAGCTTCTTTTTATTGTTACGTAAAAATGAACATGAAATTCCTCTACCAAGGTTCAAGATACAAATATAAAACATATTAAAAATAATATTAAATGTGTTAATTGCATTAAATACATTGTTTAAATAAATGTATGTTGTTAGGCGATTGATAAACATTTGGTTGGAGACTTTAAAGTTAAAAAACAGTTTAAATAGAGACTGTATTTTTTATTACCTCTAATTTAAAAAAAAGCTGTAATGTAGACCTAAGTACAAATGGAAATAACCTGTAGTATTGTAAGTTCACAAAACTATATGAATAATCATCAATAATATATGAATAATCATTAACAATATATGAATAATCATTAATCATATATGAATAATCATTATTAATATATGAATAATCATGTTCACAAACCTCTATGAATAATCTTTAGTTTCTCTTTCAAATAATGTAAAGCTTTGACAGTCTGAAGAGAAAAGAAATAAATAATCAAAGCTAAGGTAGGATACAGTAATGCATAATACACAGCGTCATTGTGCTGAATTGCGTATGGGCGTGGTACTGTATATGACTATCTAGCTGCTGTAAAGAGGCGGTAATAGTAGCTATGTGTTCACATCATTCAACAACGACGGGTTTAAAAGGATTGCTACTTACTGCTGTTGGCATATCCTAGGCCCCCGGTATTCAACTTACAGCCCGCAGGCCAACTCCAGCCCTCCAAATTATTAGATCCTGCCCGCTACATTGCTCAAAAATAAATTTTTTTCCCGGTCAATTTTCAGTTATTGTTGCAAAAGAATTTGCTGAAGAAGTGGAGACGACATTCACATGAGTAAAAATGTGTTATTTCATCGAAATTTTAGGAATACAGCAAAATGTTAGAATTAGTAGGAATAATGACCCAAGCGTTTTTTTTAACTGAGTAGCAATGTCACATAGTCAGTCTGATAGTGTTAACAAGTGTCACAGCTTTTTCTGAGTATTTAACTATATCTAGTGGCGTTTTGAGTATTAACATGGACTGATTGGAAATATATAATTATATAGGGGGACAGGCTCGGGGTACATGAACCCATCGGGAAATTCTGAACCTTGTGGGGAATAAGCCTATATTATTTTGGGAACGCTCAAATATTTATAATAATAATATAAGAATTTATAATTAAACGACCGAGGTGCACTATCAAAGGCGCTTTGCACGTTACTAACAGAAAATTTGAGTTTTGAGTAATTTTTAAAATAAAGGACAGTTTTGAATGTGTGCATGGAGTGAATTCCAAAGGTGGAACTTATTTTTCACACTAATGCACATGCATGGAACAACTCTACTTCTCAATGTGCCCAATGAAAATTACAGCAGTTAATGACAGAAAGACAGGAAGATACTTTTATGTATAAATCATGGTACAATACTGTATAGAAATAAACTGTAATTTGTCTTGTGGTAACTATAATAATTTATTTGAATGTACAGTACACTTTTGTATCAGTGGCACATGTCAATTTGGCAGTGCGTTCAGAAAATAAAATACTAAAACTTTAAAAAAAAATTACACAGATCATCAGAAAAGCAATATAAAGATGGAAGTAGCCTAAAACAAAACAAGGTAAAGTGAAAACTAAAAATAAAATAGTAAAATTATTTCTCATGCAGCAACATTAATGCTATAATTATACACAAGAGGAATCTTCAAATGTATATGTATGACAATGCTATTTACTTACTGCTTCTGCAACTTTACCAAGAATTGGTTCTGGTATACTCTTCTTGAGGTGATGGTGGTGAAATTTATATAACTTATCCAATGAGGTATCCATAAGTTCCATACAAATCCAACAGTCACCCTAACAAACAAAACAAACTTTTGAATTTGAATCACCTTTACGAAAATTTTGTTCCATTTTAGTGCCCTCTGTTAGTTCATTTCATTAGTTAGTTTCCAGTTCCATTTTATAGTAGTGATCGAAACATTTCTTTTTTATTATATTGTTTCTTATGAACTTCATCATTACATTAAAAAATATGGTGGAAATCAATTATGATGGTTTAAATAATAAATATTGTTCAGGATTAAAGCCCTGTCAAGACTAAAGTATCAAATTTCATTTGACAAAAAACTGTATGCCCATATATGGTCATGATGTGATGTCATAATGACAGGTCTGTGTATAGCACTACTACATAAAAATCAAAGCGCTGAAGAAAAATATAAATAACTAGTGAACATTCCAAGGAAACATGAGGCATTACTTAACTGTATAGGTTTAGTTAAGTCACATACTATCTTTTCAAATAAATTTGATAGACTGAACAGGGCTATGAGAATAATCAAGTATTTTCTGTGAATGTACTGAACCTCTTTAAAGAGAGCTCCAAAGAACTTGATAATATACGGGCATTCACTGCTCCTCTTCACCACGTCCAAGTCCATTAGCAGCTGTTTCTGGTCCTTTTCCTCTACTGTGGATCGGATTCTCTAAATGTTTTGGAAGAACCAACAAATTAATTAGTGTCTCATCATAATTGCAATAATATACAGGTCTCACTCTAATTAAAAACTCAAAAACAAACTTGCTGTATTTTTACATTTACAGCTTATCTAATAAAAAAATCGGTTAATGTCCCCTAATTAACTATGATAACTGAAAACTGATTTCCAGTGGGGTCCTTCTGGTGGTGATTGGGCAGTACACTGGGAGACAATCGCCTACTGTTATCTGAATAGTGTACTGCATTCTTACACATGCACATGGGCCATAATACACATGGGACCAACAGTTTAAACTTCTCATCCAAAGCCCTCCAGCAGAAACACAAGGAGGGTAGCAATGGGAATTGAACCGGGAACCTAGAGATCTCCACATTTCTGCACACACACAGTGGCTACCACAAGTTTAGCTGACTGAGCTAAGCTGCTCTCTAAAGCAAAAAGACTAGGACCCCTGTCTCTTATACACATCTAGATGTGTATAAGAGACAGCATTTTAATTGGTTGAAAACATATTTAAATTTTGGTAAACAGAATGTCTAAATAAGAAATGATTAAAGGGCACTCAGGGAGAGCACACCTCCGCCCACATCATAATTCTCTTCAGTATAAATTTTCTCTGTATACTCCCCATAAAAACAAATAATGAAAAAAAACAAAAAACAAGTAGACTCTTTGGGATTTGAACCCAAGTTTGTGATTAAAACTATGGGATGTAGGCATATAAATAAAAAAATTGGTTTTCGTTGATTGTGACCTTGACCCTTCAAAATTTAATCAGCTCTAGATCTTAGGTAAAGGAACATTG